CCAAAGTCAGACGCTTAACCGACCGAGCCACCCAGGCGCCCCTGCGTATGTTTTTAAAACAAGTCATGCCATTAAAAACTTCAGCAATGCTGGCAATACAATGATGCAACATTGGTACCAATGCAACAGTGAGTCTGGAAAATCAACAGTAAAATAAGACACGTACACATGCCCAGGTTAAGGACCAAATTTCAAACTCTTTAAAGTCAAATCTTAGATTTATCCATATTAATTAAGTAGCCACCATGCACCAAGCGCTGCATCGAGCTTTCAAGTTACCATGTGAATAAAATATGGTCCCCGCCCCTGCAGAATGTTGGGTCTTAAAGAAGTCACAGGGGCTACCGCCCAGAGAGCTCAGGGCCAGGCTGTCACCGAGGGCTAAGAGTAAGAGAAGGGGGCAGAAGGAAACCGGCTTCACCGGAGGGGAGCATTCACCAGCCTACACGTTAACAACTGGGTGAAGTACACTCATATGCACTTGCTGTAGACAACACCACTTCCCAGGCTTCAGACAAAGGCACAGCAGGGCTTCCGTGTCCCACACAGGTGGTCACCCCCTCCTTAGAGCATTACGGCCAATTTCATATGCACTGGCCTCTCTCTGCCTGACGGGCTACACACATTTTAATTCAAAATGAGGTCCTCAATCCCAGATTACCATAATCCAAATTGGTCTGCTGGCTTCAATCATATTTCCATATTTTATCTATAATTACCCGCTTTCTATATTATCTTCTAATTTTAGAAATGGTACTCCATTTCTAAATGTTGGTGGTTCAGTTGGTTGAGCATCTGACTCTTGATTTGGGCTGTGGTCATGATCTCATAGTTCATGGGTTTGACCTTGCATCAGGCTCTATGCTGGTGCTGCAGAGCCTGCTTGGGGTTCCCTCTTTCTCTTTTTCTCTTTCTCTCTCTCTCTCTCTCTCTCTCTCTCTTTCTCTCTTCTCTCAAAATAAATAAACTTAAAAAAAAAAAAAAAGAAAGAAATGGTACTCCATACAAATAGCAATCGTTCCTGCTTGGATGTCTGCTTGAAGACTGATACATAACAATATGTTGTTTGGTTTGTGTTTGGGTCTGAATCTCCATTCAAAAGAGTTTCTTTCTCCTTCTGCACTCCAGGGGAGTGGATCTCTGGGCCACGGTGATGTCTCAGGCAGACAGTTTGAGGCTTTGTCAGAGGAATCCCTGAAGCCTTCTGGATCCTTCTGTTCCCAGCTCTGCATGGGGGAACATGTCTCTGTCCATTTCAGCTTCAGATGTAAGACCTACGGCTACCTTCCTGTTACCCATTCCTGGCACTAGACCTGAACAGTGCAGCTTTTGGGAAAGATGTTACTCATCCCTTTGCTACATCCTGCTTTGGGGCCCTTCCTGCCATATGGGGTTAGCAGAGCACCTCAATGGTATGATGGAAGTAGAACTATGATGCTACTTTGGCCAACACAGTGACTCTCAAATCTGTGCCAACGCTGAAACACAAAGACATCATGATTCTTTTGGTGAAACAATCATGTCTTAAACCAGCCTGGGTGGCTTAGTCGGTTAAGCGTCTGACTCTTGATCTCAGTTCAGGTCATGATCTCATGGTTTGTGAGATCAAGACCCGCATAGGGCTCTGAGCTGACAGCGTGGAGCCTGCTTGGGATTTTCTCTCTCCTTCTCTCTCTGCCCCAACCCTGCTCATGCACACATATGCATGCACTCTCTCTCTCTCTCTCAAAATTAATAAATACACATTTAAAAAAGAAACTAGAAACATTACTTCTAGGAAAAATGTTTATGGTATGTATGTGATACAAAAGCTCAAGCACACATGTAGACAAAAACGACGAGACGTAAGAACAAGAAGGGAAAGCATGATCACTCATTTCTAAGTACTTCATCAATATTGCTGTTATTTGTTATATATCTTGTTTCACAGCGTTAGCAGTCATATGGTAAAAAGACTGAAAGGCTTGAGAAAATTTAGGGGGTGGGGTGCGGGCATTAAGATGCTTCTGTCCATTTTTGCATTTTTTTCCCCTGAAAATGGGAGTAAATGTTACTCTTGGTCAGTGTGTACAGATGCCCTAGTGTGGCTTATAGGATGTGCAGCACACTGAGCGTATGCTTTGAGAATCACTGGACTACAATGAGGAAAAGGAGGGAAGAAGATGTCTTTGTAAGGGTGTGCAGACCTCTGATCATACGACTTTTCGTTTATCTCAAGTTTCATGATACACCACAATCACCGTCATCCTCCCAAACTTAACACTGACTCCTTGGGCCCTCTCTCTATACCTTTGTTAACAGCGTCCTATATCGACAACATGCTGTCAAAGCAGAGAAATTCACTAATGGTTTTCGGCTCAAAACATCCGTGAGACATGTGCTTTTAGCACAGCATCTCCTGACAGAGCATCAGCTCACTCTCCAGGCTTGCTGACAGTCCAGAGGGGAGAAAAGTTCTCATCTTTTATGTGTGGCAAGAGCACGGTCACGCAAATAGCCTACTGTAGTTGGGGACAGACATTGCAGGCATGCAAAGCTTCAGTTACCCTTAGCTTTTAGTTCCTCCGTAATCGTGTCAAATGCATGCGTTTAAAACCCTAAAAAAGACTAGGAGCAATGAGGGATGCTATTCAATCGTCCCAGTGGTCACCAACAAAGCAGGTGACAGGCACGAGTCACTCCTAGGGTTCAGGGGAACAGGTGTCCCTGCCAAGGAAACGCCACCCCATAACTGACGGAGTTAGAGACTGATTTCCTTGGCCAGACTCACACTATGCTGCATCCCTGGCCACCTGGCAGCATACTTTCGGTTTTACATACTTTCTGTGTCTGTAATCTGTTCATTTTCTTATTTCGTGGTAATTCAAATAACAAAGGCATGGATCTTTAAGTGTTTGGAGAGGTCCTCCCCTCCCTAACATGAGTGACACAGAAGACAAAAATTTAGAGGCATCCCCCCACATCTCCTATGTGAGAACCTGGAATTCATCCATGTGGTTCTTAAACAATGCGGCTAATTATTCTGATGTCCAAGAGTGTGTGTGTGTGTGTGTGTGTGTGTGTGTGTGTGTGTGTGTGTGTTTGCAGGTGGGTGGGTATGTTAAGCATGCCTTTTCATTCTGAGACTTTGATGTCTTGGGGTCTTGATGATCCTTGATCGCCCCTCCCAAAGCTAGTCATTTCCTACAGATAATAAACGACTTTCCTGCAAGCATGCCTTTCATAGATCGACCGACCAACCCAGAGTCCTATATTCCCCAACCGCCTCCTTTACCTGGGCCTCCATCCACTTGCCCTAATCGCCCCAGGGCTACGTACCCCAACTAGGGACACTCCTTACACCCCAGAGACCACTGAAATTATGCAAACTAGCCAACTCTGCTTTGCCCGTCCAGTCCCACAAAAACCGTAATACAGGTTCCTGCCCACCTTGTCCCCTTGTTCCCTCTGCCACAAGACCAACAGTGCTTTGCCACATGTCCCCCCCATATGACACGCCTTCTGTTTCTAGGAAACTGTGAGTAAAAACCTCTTCCTTCATGAAAGTCATTTCTGGGTCTGTCTAATCATACCTACTCACATCCTAGGTTTCCTTAAAACTGTGTGTATGCATATGTGTTTAATCGGTAAATAGTATTACAAAATCTATAAAATCTCAGTTATACATCCTCAAAAGATCTAAAAGAAAATCAGCAAATGAAAGTTACATTCAGACATTTTCTAGAACAGTACAACGTATTATACTAATACCTTTGACATCTTTGACTTGGTGTCCGTAATAAGGAAAGACATATTGTTGATTTCATTCTGTACCACAAAGTTCTGCTCTTCTCTTTTGAAATTCTGAGAAGGTGCAAAGAAAATTTCAGTTAAAACCACACAGATAAGAAGCCCATGTAATCAAGAGGTTACACAGGACCCAAAAGTCTTTACAAAGAGAAGTAGTAGTTTGATACAGATTCAATAAGAAAGGGAGCAAATATTTGTTATGTATATAATGAGAGTGCTTGGCGTGGGGCAACAATTCTGGGAACTAGATACAAATATGTAATGCTTCAAAGGCGGGAACACTAAGATCCAGAATATTTTAAGCACCAAAGTCACACACCTACCAAGGGATAGAATCAGTACTCAAATCCCAATGTAGCTGGCGAAAGGCACAGATTGCTTCTTGGAAGAAACACGGGGCGTGCACAACTATGATGTAGCTTTCCATTCTGCCAGATATTTTATCTACTTTTTCAAATACTATTGACGTTACTTTATTCATGTTCAATTCAGGAGTGGGAGAACACAGTCAAAGTCAACTGTTTGAGGAGTGGTAGTGAAGAAAGCAAACACAAAATGAAAGTAGAAATAATCAGAGGTTTAAAACAAATTAAAAATCTAAGCACATGCCTTCTTCCTCTTTTTTTTTTCTTTAATGTTTATTTATTTTTGAGAGAGAGAGAAAGAGACAGACCACAAGCGGGGGTGGGACAGAGAAACAGGGAGACACAGAATCTGAAGCAGGCTCCAGGCTCTGAGCTGTCAACACAGAGCCCGACGCGGGGCTCAAACCCACGAACTGTGAGATCATGACCTGAGCTGAAATCAGACGCTTAACCCACTGAGCCACCCAGATGCCTCAGCTTCTTCCTCTTTTGGATGAGCAAAACTCAAATAAAATAATTTCCTAGTAAGCATCCAAAATGTTAACAATTGATGAGTAATAACATATTTTGTGTGAAGGACAGTGAAAAGACCAAGCTTCGACTTTCCTTCAGCTCACGTTAACCTTCTAATCTTACTATTCATAACAACATGGTTGCTCATGAGTTTCATCTTTAAATATTTGGGTAAGAATATATATGACACACACTAACAGATTTGTGTTTTAAATATACCCATGAGATTCAAAGGGTGCCTGGGTGGCTCAGTCAGTTAAGCGTCCGACTTCAGCCCAGGTCATGATCTCATGACTCGTGAGTTCGAGCCCGGCATTGGGCTCTGTGCTGACAGTTTGAAGCCTAGAGCTGCTTCGGATTCTGTGTCTCCCTTTCTCTCTGCCCCAACCCCGCTCATGCTCTGTCTCTCTCTCTCTCAAAAATAAATATTTTAAAAAAAAATTTTAATAAAGAAAAAAAATCCCATGAGATTCAAAAGTACATATTCATATTTTTTTCTTACTCTTGAAATTATCATTAGACAGTCATCTAAAAATCTACTGATGATGATAAATACTCCTCCAAATACTTGTTCCAAAATTATGTCTTGCATATAAATTTAAAGAAGCCTTTTTTTGGTATTTTGGTGATTAATGAAGTTGAAGAGTCTCAGTTCTTCAAGGGAAAATATGCAGGTTTTAGTTTTCTTAAGTGATTCAGTCCTGGGCTCTGGATTTCAAATATTCCTTGAAAAGCACCCTGAACCATCTAATGCACCCCTCAACATGAGTTACATAGGATGAGAAATCATTTGCTTTTGGGGCGCCTGGGTGGTGCAGTCGGTTAAGCATCCGACTTCAGCCAGGTCACGTTCTTGCAGTCCGGGAGTTCGAGCCCTGCAGCCTCGGGCTCCTGTTTGAGTGGCCTGGGCTGTGGAGCCTGTTCTCGATTCTGTACTCCCCTCTCTCTCTCTGCTCCCCTGCCACACAGTCAGCTCTGCTCTCTGTCCCAAAAATAAATATAAACGTTGAAAAAAAAAATTAAAAAAAAAAAAAAGAAATCATTTGCTTTTTATCTAGAGGAACATAAAGACCTAAATGAATTTTAGGCACCACAGAAAATCAAAGTCAATGTGAAATACAAATGCATATATTAAAAAGGCCATTATTTCATATATTATTTCAGTGTGCTTATATTTTTTGATGTATGTTTTTACATACATCTTGATATCAAGTTTGACAGACTCCTCAGAGGCAGGCAACAAATATTATGCATTATTGTAGACATTAAGTGGGAAATTTTTTTTTTTTTTAAATATGACATTTCCAAAATAACAGGATTTGGATAACAATCTGACGAAATAAACAAGGAAGTTTTCTCAAATAATGGAACTGAGGTTGAGGATTCTCTTTCTTGGAGTCTCACATTTACAAAGTGCCACAGAATCGTAACTGAGACAAAAATTCTAAGATTTTGAAATAATCTGGGACGATAATCAATGTTCACTGAACCCATTTTCTGCGAGTTATTCAAAATAATTATAGAATGCTCTCGAGTTCTTATTATTAAAACCTTTTTCAGACTTAAAAACATATAGTTCCACTTGCAGGATACAAAATAGTGAAAACATTCACTAAAGATGTACTTTATAATTTCTTTTCAACAGGATTCCGAGCAGGGACTGTATTTTATTCTAACGTGTACGTGAAACTAAACTCCTGTAGAAACAAGAGTGTGTGAAACAAATTTAAAGAAGTAGTATCTTGGGGCACCTGGGTGGCTTAGTCGGTTAAGTGTCTGACTTCGGCTCAGGTCATGATCTCACGGTCCGTGAGTTCGAGCCCCGCATCGGGCTCTGTGCTGACAGCTCAGAGCCTGGAGGCTGTTTCGGATTCTGTGTCTCCCTCTCTCTCTGCCCCTCCCCCGTTCATGCCTGTCTCTCTCGGTCTCAAAAATAAATAAACGTTAAAAAAAAATTAAAAAAAAGAAGTAGTATCTTTAACAAGTAAACAAATGTATCTTGTGATTGAAAAACACAAGTCCATCCTAGCATTTCTCAAACTAGGCATCATGCGTGCTCCCGGGGGCTCAGCAAAACACCTACAGGAGGGAAGCCTAGAGGAGAAAATGCCACGTCCCTGTGTCCCCGTTACCCTAAGATTTAGAGGCAAACAGAAAAAAGCATTTATGGAGTGCAACTAAAAACCCCTCAGTGACTTTTTTTTTTTTTAATACAAATTACCAAACTCCAAATGAAGGTTTATAGTGCTTCAAACTACCACGGGGAATGTGTCCTGTCTCCACACCAGTTAAGGGATACCTAGGAGGCTAGCTTGAGAAACACTGTCACAGGCATTTACTAAAGGGACTGGTCACAGGCATTTACTAAAGGGACTGGAAAATTGGTTGAAAACTTGAAAGCCCTGGGGCGCCTGGGTGGCTCAGTCGGTTGAGCATCCGACTTCGGCTCAGGTCACGATCTCGTGGTCTGTGAGTTCGCGTGAGCCCCACGTCGGGCTCTGTGCGGACAGCTCAGAGCCTGGAGCCTGCTTCGGATTCTGTATCTCCCTCTCTCTCTCTGCCCCTCCCTAGCTTGTACTCTGTCTACCCCTCTCTCAAAAATAAACAAACATTAAAAAAAAAAAGAAAACAAAAAAAAAGAAAACTTGAAAGCCCTTAAAATAAACCAAACCGGAAGCCATATTTTTCTACTTACGTGGGATTTTGACCAGTAGATAAACACTTCGGCCACCATGCGGAAAAGGTCCTCTGCTTCTGGGTTAGGTTCTTTTAGCCACTTTGCCCTGGATCACATATAAATAAAGTGGTGTCTCAGTTACTCCTTCCACTTGATTTTTTTTTTTTAAATCACCCACTCAGGGGCGCCTGAGGGGCTTAGCTGGTTACGCATCTGACCCTTGATTTTGGCTCAACTAATGATCTCATTACTTGAGCCACATTGCTCCCCCACATTGGTCTCTGAGCTGGGATTCTCTTTCTCCCTCCCCTACTCATGCTGTTTTCTCTCTCTCACTCTGACAATAAATAAACTTAAAAAAAAAAAATCACCCGTTAAGTTAAATTTCAAACCAAGCAAACTAAGGGCAAGTGTGCTGTCCACAGAGGCCCTAGATGGCCACTGGAGTACATCTGTCTTACACTTAAAGCAATTTAAACACTGTAACTATCAAACTGCTAACTTTTGCAGAAGGCAGACTACTAATGAGATCTCCCTTTGTCAATTCGAGATGCTTGGTGAAAATTACCTTGTCTATACACATCTGGTTAGGTCACAATCACGCACCAGCTCATCACCAAGCGAATGAAGCCATTCATCAGGACACACGAACCCAGCAAGGTCATGACTGAATTGGAGAAATGAATCCCTTGGGAACAGTGTACCTGTTATAGTCCACAAATCTAATCAAGAGCGGGTAGAAGGCATAGAGATCTCTGGCCAGAGTGGTGAACTCATCGAGAATGAGAAGCTCTGCCTCAGACATATCCCCCCTGGCCTCAGCTTTCAGATGGTCCTCCTCTGACACCACCATCGCTGCTTTTTTCTTGAGTTTCTCCATTAATGGCAAGAAATGAGTTTTCAGGAGCTGAGGTTTCACTTTATTTATAATGGGCTGTGAAAATACTGTTTGAAGACAGACATTAATATTCTGTTCTGCATCAACAGGCATTAAAAAGAAGACAGATTATAATTACAACTGTAGCATGATTTTGCCCCGCCCGCCTCCCCTCCCCCAGCACAAGGCTTCTTTCAGGATTCAGCCCATGCCTCAGGCGTTTTTCTAGTCCCAAACCTAATTACACAGTTGCTGTTCAAAAATGATTACTGAATTGAATTTGATGTGCTTTCTTGTTTTTTTTTTTTTTTAATTGGCAGCTAATTTGGAATGGGGGAAAAAATGTTCATTCACTTTGGAAATCAATTATTTTCACAAAAAGAAGAAAAAATCCCCAAATGGAAAACGTTCTTCTGGCTCTTTCTTTACAAGGAGTAGGCACCACTGAATAATCACGAGCCTACATACAGCCATCCGCGTTGGCTTCCCCAGCCTTGTCCCAGTGGGAGACTCAGACTGCACAGGTCATTTATTTATTTCTGAATTTTTTAAACACCCATCTTGTCCATCCTTGAAGCTGGTCCACATTGTCCGAGGTGGGAGGCGCAAAGACAGACAAATGTAGATTCTTGACTCTGTTTTGGTTATCCTCTCCCCACTCCTGATAAGATGAATCGCTAAAAGGGGGTTGTTTCAAAATCCAGTTTTATTTTCGTCTCTGTCTACAGAACCATTAGTTTTTGCTGCTGCACTTCCTGATCAGTCTTACAGAGACCGTCCATTCAGGAAAATGTCTACTTATTTAAAAGTTGTATCAATATGACAAGTCACCTGATGCCTGATCAAATCTACATTTTTTTTATTAATTAAAGAACAGCGTGATAGAAACAATATTTTTAAAGATTTTTTGAGCACAGAAGAAAATATTAATGAGGCCCAAGATAGGAAAATTCTAGTAGTTCTGTATTTCTTTTCATTTTAAAACGTTCTTTTACTTAGGAAATCTCTACACCTAACGTGGGGCTCAAACTCATGACCTGCGAGGATCAAGGGCCGAATGCTTTACTGACCAAGCCAGTCAGGTGTCCCTAGTCTTCTGTTATTTCAAAGACTTTTGGAAATGAAACAAATTCACGTGATGCATCCCTCTCCAATTCTTACCTGCTAACCTCTTCATCCAGGCTCCCTCATCAATTCCCAGGTTATTATATATGATTTTCAATATATTCCCCAAGAGCGTGTTCATGTGCTCGGAGTTCAGGGCGGTACAGCACATTTCAGCCCTTTCTGGATTATTTTCAGGTCCGTGCTCCCACCAACGAGACATGTAGCTGCAAAGCATGGGCAGTATGACTTCCATGACGTGTGGCATCTGTGTGTAGCGAATGCCGGACTCAGCTAATTCCACAATTTCTTCCATGAGTTTCTCCAAAGACGGTATATTTGGGCACACATCCTCCACGTTAGTTGGCAAATTCAGAGCTAGAGAAACACACGTAAGAGTGAACCGCGTTCAGTGAAAGGACGGACTTACGAGGACGGCCACACTTCCACTGTGTATGGCAGCCACAAGCAGCCATCTTGCTCTGGGCTTCAGAGCTCGGCAAGACCCGGCGGGCCTTCCACCGGCTCCCTCTCTTTACTGGTGGCAGCTATATCCAAAGTTCTCTCTTTTCCCCAAGTTCCTATCTTACCACCACGCCTCACTCCTTTAAGATCAGAAAATGACCATTTCTTCTACTTCAGAGCAAACCAGAATATCAAAGGTCTCTGCCTACAGGCCTTCTGTGTGGTCTATCCTTCTGCGACCATCACCTATTTTCAGAGCAAGGAGCTCTGAGGTCCCTGTTCAGGGCTCGACCTGTGTTCTCAATGCCCCACTACAGAGGCCATGCTTAGGCCCTATGTTGAGCCACTTATATATGCTCTGTACACAGCATAATATATATGCATTATATATATAACATACAACATATAATTATACTCTGTAGCGCCTCCTCCCCAGCAGCCTGCTGCGATGCTTTGAATCTCCCCTGGATTGTTTAACTTTCCATAAATTGCTTTCTATAAATTTAACTTTCCATAAAGTGCTTCCCACCACTTAACTGATCGCCCTTTTTCACAAACCCTTACGTGGCTAACTGTTACAGTGGCATTTCCCATCACTGACCAGATTCCCTTTTCCTTAATCTCAATGTATTCAGTCTTTCTGGACTCCCTCCTGAACTTTGTCAGGCTCCTTTTACTGGCTAATTTCTCCTTGAAGAACTTTAAAAAAAATTTTTTTTTAAGTGTTTATTTTTGAGAGAGTGAGAGAGTGAGAGAGAGAGAGAGAGAGAGACTGACCACGAGTGGGGGAAGGGCAGAGAGAGAGGGAGACACAGAAACCAAAGCAGGCTCCAGGCTCAGAGCTGTTAGCAGAGAGCCTGATGCAGGGCTTGAACTCGCCAACCATGAGATCATGACCTGAGCCAAAGTCAGACACTTAACTGACTGAGCCATCCAGGGGCCCTTCAAGATTCCTCTTGAACCAACTGAGTTAAGCCGTTCTGGTATCCTCAATGAACATTGCATTTTTGTGTCCTTAGTGTTCTTTATTCTGAATTCTATCACATGTATCTACCAGTCTCTCCCGTACTGCAACTAAAACCCCCCCGAAAGAAAGAATCCAAGTCTAATACTTTCTTATGTCAAATCTCCCCCATTTCCCTCAGTGTATGTTGCAAACAATTACTTGTGCGATGGCTAAAACCTGAATGAAAGCGGACCGTTCAATTCAATTCCTTTACTTTGTTATGCAAATGATGTGTTACAGAAACAAAAGCAGGTAAATTATCTGCTCTGTGTGTTTCCTTTTCTGCAATAAATAACAAATCTGCTTCATTCTGGATTCACAGCAAAAGGATTAATCAGTCAAAAATCCTAACTAAGACAACTTAGTAAAACAAGTTTACACAGAAGCCTAGTAGCTCAAATTCAACCATGTTTTATTATTTACAAATATATTGTGGCAATTATGCAGAAAAATATTGCTAACGCACATTCAACATATTTTGCCTTAGCTTCCTCTGTTATAGGAAATCAGAATTATAAAATGGGCAAATTAAATAATGACAATTCAAGGTTTTAAAAGATTCCTTACTTGATAAAAGGCATTATAAAACAAGTATAACCAGCAGATCCCCTCAAAAGAGTTACACAGAGAAACGATCTCATTAACAGAGAGGGATGCACTTGTGGACAACAAATAGTTCTTGCCTAAGTTTTGAGAACTCTTTAGGGCTACTGGAAAGCAAAGGAAATGCAGTATACGGTATCAGACTTAGAAGAAATCAAACAAAAAAGTAATATGAGAGGACACCTACATAATGTTTAAGCCTTGAGAACTCTGTTTTGATCGCTTTCAATGGCTGATTGGAGAAATAAGTCATTTCTGCTATGTTAACTATTGGTCATCCAACTCATTTCAAATCCTAGTAAATAATTCTAACAGGTTCTCACAGACCGATCCTTGAAATCATCAGCAATGGTCCTAAAAGCTTTTCAACTGGGACAGTGGGAAAAATGAGCCTACCAACCCAGAAAAATAGATTTTCCCAAGTGAAAGACGATGCGGGGCATGACTGTTTATAGATACCTAGTATGCATACAGACGTACATAAAAATCTTAAGAATACACATGCTAAGGGGCGCTTGGGTGGCTCAGTTGGTTGAGCGGCCGACTTCAGCTCGGGTCACGATCTCGCGGTCCGTAAGTTCGAGCCCCGCGTCGGGCTCTGTGCTGACAGCTCAGAGCCTGGAGCCTGTTTCAGATTCTGTGTCTCCCTTTCTCTGCCCCTCCCCCGTTCATGCTCTGTCTCTCTCTGTCCCAAAAATAAATAAACGTTCAAAAAAAAAAGAAAATTAAAAAAAAAAAAAAAAAAAAAGTGGGGCGCCTGGGTGGCGCAGTCGGTTAAGCGTCCGACTTCAGCCAGGTCACGATCTCGCGGTCCGTGAGTTCGAGCCCTGCATCAGGCTCTGGGCTGATGGCTCAGAGCCTGGAGCCTGTTTCCGATTCTGTGTCTCCCTCTCTCTGTGCCCCTCCCCCGTTCATGCTCTGTCTCTCTCTGTCCCAAAAATAAATAAACGTTCAAAAAAAAAAGAAAATTAAAAAAAAAAAAAAAAGAATACACATGCTAAGGTCAGATTCAAATTTGAGTCACTGATTGTGTTTCAGATTTATAAGTTTTTTAAATGATAAAAATTGGACTAAACTGTGAGAAAAAAATCACATGGAATTAATCTGTCCCAAGAAGACAGACACATCTGGTGAACCCAAACAAAACAAAACAAAACCAATCTGAAGGGTACAAATCCATAAATATAATGAATAACACCCTCTGCTCGCTGTACCTATGAGAGAGAACTGAATCAGAAATCAGACTGACCCATTTATTTCCATTTCTGCCAATTATTTTGTCTTATTCTTAGGAGGGCTAATTTGAAGAAATTAAACGACTTTTCTTGCAGATACACTATGGGGATAGTATATAACATTCCAGAGAATTCCAAATCATAACATTTAAAAACAAATAGCATTGGAGATAATAAATTGAAATGGTCCATGAAAAAAATCACTGTAGGAAAATACAGTAGATGTCATTACGTTTCAAGGTCATATCTCAAATACTGAACATGCTTCTTCTGCATTACCTGCTCTTTCTCGCGATGACTTGGTATTGTAGATAGAGTAGATGTTATGTTTGTCGAGATGAGTTTCCAAAAATGCGACAGGAAAGGCACCAGCAAAAGCAGCAAGACATTCTCCTAATGCAGAGCGTTGCCTACAAGTGCAAAATGTTTGTTTTTTAGGTCTTCCAAGTGAATGAAGAAGTTACACTAAAGGCAACAAGTTTAAAACTAACATTAGAGGGGCGCCTGGGTGGCTCAGTCAGTTAAAGCTGACAGCTCAGAGCATGGAATCTGCTTCGGATTCTGTGCCTCCCTCTCTCTCTGCCCCTCCCCTGCTCATGCTCTGGCTCTCTGTGTCTCAAAAATAAAAATAAAAAAAACCTTAAAAAAATTAAAGACAAAAAAACTAACATTAGAGGGATAATAATCACGCAAATAATAAAAGTAACCCTCAAATCCAATTTCTACATTGCAAAACATCATCTGCTTTCAATAGCAAAGTCTCCACCATTTAAAAACAGCTAAATTATCTGTTAGTTTAAAAAGAAGTTAAGGGGTGCGTGGGTGGCTCAGTCGGGGGAGCATCTGACTTTGGCTCAGGTCATGATCTCACAGTTCGTGGGTTTGAGCCCTGCATCAGGCTTGCTGCTGTCAGCTCAGAGCCCGCTCCAAATCCTCTGGACCTTCTCTCTCTGCCCCTTCCGTGCTTGTGGTCTCTGTCTCTCTCTAAAATAAATAAAACATTGGGGCATCTGGGTGGCTCAGTCAGTTAAGTGTCTGACTTCAGCTCAGATCACGATCTCATGGTTTGTGAGTTCCACCCCTGCATCGGCTCTGTGCTGACCGCTCAGAGCCTGGAACCTGCTTCTGATTCTGTGTCTCCCTCTTTCTCTGCCCCTCCCCTGCTTGTGCTCTGTCTCTCTCTCAAAAATAAATACATCCATATTTTTGAGACATTTAAAAAAATACATAAAACATTAAAAAATAAGTTAAAACATTATAGACCAAAATAACAAGAAAAACCCTGTCAAATCCCCCCCATGAGTCTGGACATTTCTTTTGCTTTGCTTCCTTTCTTTACATCTTCTTCTTTTTTTAAACATAATGACCTACTGAGGAAGAATTCTTACTAGGTGAATAAATGCACTAATAAACATTAAAAAAAAAATAAAGTAGTGATACCAACACAGTAATACAATTTTCTGAAAATTTACTAAGTAATTTCAAGGTAGCTATGAAGTATTAAGACATAATATATACCAAAAACTATTAATAACAGTTAAAATTGATTCATCGTTTTTAAGGGAAGGAAGAGGTTTAAGGAATCATTCTGGGATCAATTGATTCAGGGCAGTTCACGACCCATGGCTCCCCCTGCCAGTGACATAAATTCTCACTTTCCCGGGGCGCTTGGGTGGCTCAGTCCGTTGAGCGGCCGACTTCAGCTCGGTCATGATCTCGCGGCCTGTGAGTTCGAGCCCCACGTCGGGCTCTGTGCTGACAGCTCAGAGCCTGGAGCCTGTTTCAGATTCTGTGTCTCCCTCTCTCTGACCCTCCCCGTTCATGCTCTGTCTCTCTCTCTGTCTCAAAAATAAACGCTAAAAAAAAAAATTAAAAAAAAAATTCTCTCTTTCCCTTAGCTACCTACATAATCCAAGGATTCGCTGGCACATGTTTATTAAATGTAGGACAATATGAGTTATTTCAGCATATTATGACCTCCTGAAATTACTTTACATAAATATTTTACTTTAAGAGTCCATAAAATCTATCTAATTAAGAAAAGATCATACAATTCTCTTTGGTAGCTTTAAATTCCTAATGGAAAAATATATGACTACATAAAATTAACAACACCTAATAGTTTAATATTTTAATTAAAAATGACTAGACATTTAGTCAGCTAGGAGAAAATACCTCTTCCTAGAATGACACTGAATAACTGAATAACACAGAGTTTAATTCAAACACTGAATAACATTTTATTACTAAAAATAATTTAGGACAGCAAGAAATCACAAAGGGAACAGGCTTTGATTCAGACAGACCTGAGTCCCAAACTTATTCCTGATACTTGTATCACTTTAGGAAAATTACTCATTCTTTCTGTTTTGCTTTCCTTACCTAAAAACTGGGATGCAGAATTGCAAAATTTCTGACACATAATAGGAGTTCAATAAAAGTTTGAAAATAATGAGAATATACTTATTTAAGAATTTAATAGCCTAAAATGTTTCATATATGACCCCAAAGTAATGAATTCTCTTACATCTGACTGGACAAGTCCTTTTATTTTATTAATAATACATGTGAACTATTTAATAATTTACTTTAAAATTTTGATTCAATTAGTAATTCTCAGACCAACTGTGATTATTCGTATTTTGGAAATAGCAGGTTTTTTATATGATGCTTATTAAGATACCTACATTTTTCTTAGTACAGTGACACTCTTTCATTTTTTCCAAGATATCTTTTACTCATCTTCCAATTTTCATTACAAATTTTTTTTGAATGTTTATTTATTTTTAAGAGAGAGAGACAGAGTGTGAGAGGGGGAGGTGCAGAGAGAGGGAGACAACAGAATCCGAACCAGGCTCCAGGCTCCAAGCTGTCAGCACAGAGTCCAACACGGGGCTCGAACTCACAGACCACGAGATCATGACCTGAGCCGAAGTTAGATGCTCAACTGACTGAGCCACCAGGCACCCCTCCCAATTTTCATTTTTATACTCTCCCCAAATGACTTTATAACTGCAAGAAAAATAAAAAAAAAAAATGTATCTTTTTTAGATCCTAACAAAAGAATCCCAAAGTTTATCAAGGAAAACCCAGAGGTAAAAAGAATAACAATGAGAGCACTGCTGAGGTTATGAGAGAGTTTGGATTACCAGATACTACAATGTATCATAAAGTACTAACAATTCAGGCTACAAGGTACTGATCTAATAATTTAAAAAGTCAAATAACAGAACAAAATAGAGATTCTAGAAATATAACCTATTTAATCTATTACCACAGTAGAGAATGAAGGTCTTATTTTAAATCAGTAGATAAAAGAAATATTTAATAAATCATTCCTTTGGGAGGAGGTTGGGGGATGGGTGAACTAGGTAAAGGAGATCAAGAGGAATAAATTTCTAGATATAAAATAGATCACAGAGATGAAAAGTGCAGCATAAGGAATACAGTCAATAATATTGTAATAATGTTGTGCTGCGACAGATGGTAACTATCCTCAGAGTGGTCAGCATGGTGTAATATAGGGAACTGTCCGGTCACTAAGCTGTGCACCTGAAACTAATATAACATTGTATGTCAACGACATTTCACTTAAAGATAAATACTTTCCACATGGAGGATGGTTTTAAAATTTTAATTTGAATTCTACATAACACCTAAAGAGAAACATGAAATTCAGATTCATTTTCAGTAAATTCCCTGCTTACTCCAGAGATGATCATTCCGGACATTCACTACTTTCCTCAAACTTCTTACATTTCTTTTCTGAATCATCACTTGGCTGAGGCATATTTCATTGAGAAAAATGGAAGCCAGGAGACACACACCTATTTATACCTGACTTACCTACTACCTGCTTTCTGTTGAATGGAGGAAAGTTCTGCGTTTCAAAACGTTCTAAAACATACATTTCTGAACACCCCATGTCATTCTCTTTATTGTGTGCTCACTGACCCATGATAAGCTGCCAATATTACATTCTTCACTTTACTTGTTTTGTTTTTTGTTCCTCATTAGGTCTAAGGTCTTTGAGAGTAGGGATCTATCTTGCTTATTACGGTTGTTATCACAGAACCTGGTGCTTACTAAATTTTTATTGAATGAGTAAAGGATTAAAAAGCTAAATGTAAACAACAAAAAGAATGAAAAACCTAAAAGAATAAGTTTTTTTTTAAATGTTTATTTATTTTGAGAGGGAGAGAGAGAGAAAGTGCAAGCAGGAGAGGGACAGACAGGGAGACAGAGAATCCGAAGCAGGCTCCAGGCTCTGAGCTGGGGCTCAGAACTCACTAACTGCGAGATCATGACCTGAGCTGAAGTCGGAGGCTCAACAGACTGAGCCACTCAAGTGCCCCAGAGATAAATATTTTAACTTCTAGCTGTTATGAGTGTGGTACCACTTTTCTAAAAATATTAAACTAAGAAGAATAAACACACGTGAAATAATTGACAGATTATATAAAAAAAAATTCCCAGGTCATAAGATATTATCTTTACATAGTTTCATATAGAAGCACTATAAAGTTATAAAAATGCTATGAGTCACAAAGATGGGAAAAAGAACAGGCAAGAGATTAATATTTGCTATAAATAAAATGGTTTTAATAGATAAAATTCATTACTAATCAGTAAAATAACGCATTAATAGAAAAATGGACAAGAGATATGAAAGGCAATTCATAAAATAAAGAAAAATGGCGGAGTAAACCCAAAACAATGGCTGAGAAGTGGGAGTTACGGAAGTGCATTTGAAATTAACATTGGAGGGACGCCTGGGTGGCTCAGTCGGTTAAGCGTCCGACTTCACCTCAGGTCACCATCTTGGCAGTTGACGAGTTCCAGCCCCGCATGAGGCTCTGTGCTGACGGCTTGGAGCCTGGGGCCTGCTTCCGATTCTGTGTTTCCCTCTCTCTCTCTGCCCCTTCCCTGCTCATGCTCTGTCTCTGTCTCAAAAATAAATAAACATTAAAAAAAAATTTTTTTTTTGAAATTAACATTGGATCC